TGTAATGTTCTTCGGTTAATTCAATATGATCTGATATTGAGACAATAGTCTATTTATTTTGAAGATAGTGTTAGCGTATGGTCTTTGTTGTTCCTTGTCATTCCTAAAGGCCAGTATGTAAATAAAACGAATACTTTAAATTGGAATATATCTTTTTAATTTTATTTAAGCACAAGCGTTTTTCGCGCCACGGCCGAAGCCGGGCTCCCAACGATTATATACATATACCTAAAGTAATGTGCACTTTACATTAGTAACTGATTAGATCTCCAGATCACAACATAATTAATATTTAAAATGATACCTAAACAACAGCGGCAAAACAACGTTCTTGTTATCACTACGCTCTGGTCCCTGAATCCTTTCCTATCATACCAACACATTAAAACATACACAAACAGCGTAAAATAATTGAAAAACATTCGTATGAAATTATACTCATTCTTAATGATAAAATTATCCCTTACCAAAAAACGCTGCAGCAAGTAAAATTACAGTGTTTCGTCTTCTCCTATTAAATGATGAAATATCACTTTTAGAAGATAAAGAAATACATAAAAATCAACAGTATTTTTTGGTAAAGAACATTGTGATAACTCTGGAAGAACATTCCCTAAAATGTATAGACTATATTTCTACTGAATACAGTTTTTTGGCAGTCTCCAGAAACAATACTGAGCAAAACGTCTATACATTTTAGTTTCTGAACAATAAAATATATAATACTATAAAAGTATAGGCACTTATAAACCTACACTATTTAAACGTGTTCTAAAAATACAATAAATGACAATATTATAAAATAATGACAATATAAATCTCATGGTGTAATAATTGTGGCTTGCAAAAATGCAATTTACAACAAAATTAACGTTAGTTTAAAAAATATTTGAAATATTACTTCCATAGCTGATTTATCATAAAAAGAAAACTAATAACAATTACATGATAAATATTGATTAGAAAGTAGTAGTAATATAAGATAATTTACAGGGTGTTAGGTAAATGGTATTTTATAAAATTTATTTTGTATGAAAATTAATAAAATTAAAATGTTGTTATCAAATTTCTGACTTCACCATACCATTTATATGCCCATGTTAACATGGGCTAATGTCGGCTCATATACCCATTTACCTAACACCCTGTATAGCTATAAAATCATAATATCATCTGTGATACACATAAATATAAAGATATAGCTCCACGGCAAATAAAAACAAGCGAACGAAGACAAAAAAACTACAATATGCTTATGTAAATTGCATTTTCATAACGAGCCCAACAGAGGTCAACAACCAATGAATGTTAAAACGAAGGAACTCCGCTCGAGCTGCCCACCTAAGCGTATAGATACCAATGTGTGCGTGGCTTCAAAGTGGCGACGAGGATTCAAAATTATTTTGCTACGTAAAATCTCATTGTATTCTATTGAACTGCTTTAACAGATTAAATTCTATAGATGTCTCCACGAAATTGAGTGAGTTTTTATGTAAAAACATCATTATTAAATCTCTGAAATGAGGTAGCAACGTGAAATATCTTAAAATGACAAAATCACTTTTTCTTTGAACGTTTCAGTTGCAACTGATTTCATTAAATATTTTATTTTGTAGGTAAAGTTGCTAATACACTAACAAACGTTTAAAAAACACGCACACAATAATGCGCTAACCAGATGCACACAAAGAGCTAAGCTACAACTTGTAGTTCGTTTATCTTAGCTTACATAGCCAAGCTTAATCATACATGTTACAGTCACACGCCTATGAAGAACACCATAATCTATGTGAACCAAATTAAACTAACATAGCTTGTACTTCGTGTGCAAAATTAACTTAAGATTCTCGCCGTCTCTTCAAAGCCACGCACCGTGTACTAAACATTAAAACACTGTACTTAAACAAATTTGTATTTTCTCTAATCTAAAATCTCCTACGTCCAAGTTTTGTATAGGATTTTTACAGATCTACAAAAGTCGAGGAACGATACTGCAGATAGGCGCAGCGGACATCACGTACCTAACACTTAGCTTTACAACTATATAGCAAGTATAGTCTGAAAACAACAACAACTTTACAATAAAATGGCATAGACAACAGTCTTCACAACATCCATAGATGACAACTAGATCATTTACAATAGACATGCGCACGCGGCGATACCAACGTACGCGCGTATAATCTGATATGATACTGTAAATTCGTACAATTACGGAGTTTCTGATAGGCTCTATAGTATAAAATACAGTCATGGTTAATAGTCATAACAGAAAAAGTGCATAGAAAGAATAAATATTAGATAAGAAAAGTAGTGTGTTATTGGGNCGGATTTCTCTCTACACCGTCGTTAAGGCATTCATTGACTGGACTAACTACTAAGAAAAGTATATGATTGTTACCGCGACTGTACGATTTGTGACTCTTATTACACACAGTTGTTTGGTTTTTTAATATAACATATTTAAAGCTAAACAATAATTTAGGTAAGTTGAGAAACTTAACGAGATTTATTGTTGGTTTCTCAACTAAGATTAATCTGTCACCATATCTACTGAAGATGTTTATGAGCAAAAACCACTAAGGCTATGGTCACACTCGCAACGCTGCATACTGTATACCTATCTGCTCACTAGGTCAGTCAATCAACACTACATGGGTCTTAGCACCAACAAACTGTGTGACCTAGGCCTTAACATGTTTTTGCTCTCCAAAAATACAATACGAAATGAATTCTATATCACATTGCTTGATTTTGTGACTTTTTGCATTCAAAGTTACTTATATGGTTGTCATAATAAAACACTATTTGAAACAGTTGATATGACAACAGATATCAACATAATATAGAGAATGGATGAACCGATTTTGAGACAATCTGTATATTCCCTACATATACATTTGTATATTTAATACAACAAGCTGAAAACATAGATAGATGCACATACAGTGTGAGTCACGTTAAAGTGTACATATAAAAATAGATGAAACTAGACCTATTTTTATCGACAAAAAAGAGGTCAAAAATTTTTTGAGATTTTTTTTAAATTTTTTATAGAATTTTTTTTCTTCCAATTACTTATTGTAAAGAAAACGTAATAACTTTTAAACTAAGAGGTATATCCTGATAAAATAAAAACAGTAATAATGCTAAATAACAGGCAATACTAAAAATACATATAAAATACACAAAAAAGGCCAACAAATAATAAAAAAATGATGTATTTTGAAAAAAAATTGCTTTCAAATTCGTGTTTTTTTGGTTATTTGAGCAATTTCTCCAAAAAATGCCCCTATAACTGGTGGTTTTTATTACTTTGTATTATTTTCTATCGTATTACCTTTGTAAAACCAAAAATCGCATGTCTCTATCCCTATCACAACGTTTGCAATGATCGTTTGAACTAAGCCTCTCCGGGCGCGCCATTCAACGCTTCGTTAACAACGAAACTGAAAATGTCTCTAGATTTGTAATTTTGATAAATACAAGTTAGATTTCAAATAAAAACAAAAGATTTTGAAGTAAAATAAGCATTTTAGTTAAAATTAAAATTGTCTCTACCTGTAGCGGAGAATAATGTTGTGTCAGGCCTTTGTTGAAACGATCATAGCAAATGTTGTGATAGGGATAGAGACATGCGATTTTTGGTTTTACAAAGATAATACGATAGAAAATAATACAAAGTAATAAAAACTACCTGTTATAGGGGCATTTTTTGGAGAAATTTATCAAATAACCAAAAAAACACGAATTTAAAAGCAGATTCTTTTCAAAAAGTATCATTTTTTATTATTTGTTGGCTTTTTTTGTGTATTTTATGTATTTTTTTAGTATCGCCTGTTATTTAGCATTATTACTGTTTTTATTTTATCAGGATATACCTCTTAGTTTAAAAGTTATTACGTTTTCTTTACAATAAGTAATTGGAAGAAAAAAAATTCTATAAAAAATTTAAAAAAATCTCAAAAATTTTTTGACCTCTTTTTTGTCGATAAAAATAAGTCTAGTTTCATCTGTTTTCATATGTACACTTTAACGTGACTCACACTGTATAAAACAGGTAATATTATAGTTTTTGAACTGTGTCTTGTTAACAACGTTCCATCAGTGAAACCATACAAAATGAATATTACATAATAACCCAAAATAAGTTTTTTTTTCAAACGATTGCTTATGGAAATACTCCTTTTACTCGAATACATGCGAACAGGTTGTATCCAACAAAAAAACTTAAGGTTAAACAACCACAAAATATATCATAATTTGATTTCATTTACAGTTAATGGATTTATTTATAACGTAATTATTAGTTATGAAAATTAAATCATTAAACAACAAATTATCAACATAATAATAATCATAATATCCTTAAACAACGAAGCTCAATAAAAGCTAATGAAAATGGCATATTCATAATCACTTTAGTAATTTATTAAACTACAAAAATATTTCTTCTTATTTCCACTAAGAGGATCAATTGATTGTCTAATATATGACTTTATGTATAAATAGGGCCACTCAATTCACTATCGTATAATATTGTTATTCATTTCATTTATTACTCTGTAACATCGGTAATATATTGTAGTTTAAAACACCATTTACATTACTATGATGATTGCACATATAACGAAATACTATGTAACTAGAATATAATATGATAAAAAAAGCTTGTAAAATTATAATACTTTGATTAGTCAATCAATCGATCTGACCGCGGGCCATTCGCGGCAAGACTGCGGTAGATTGTCAATAAGGCCAGCTTCAAAATTATAACTCGAGCACCATTTTATAGCCACACACAAAGTGTAGAAACTGCGAGGTCTAGCGATTTAGGACGACTCTCTATATTCAATTCTAATCCAAATGCGTCCTTCAGCTGTCAAACATTCAGTTTTAGATTAAATATCCACAATTTTCGATGCGTTCACACTTTAATATTGTTTAAAAAAAATGTCTTATAAACAATACGAAAATGTACAAAAAAAATAGAAAAATGTAAATATTTTGACCAAAAACCTATTGAAATTTGACATTTGACGGACGGATTTGGATTAGGATTGAATATAGAAAACCAGCATTAGTCTTACCGCGAGTGGGCCGCGCGCACAAATCTACCACAAACGGCTTATCCGTCGAGATTACAACATTTAGGCTTGTCTTTTAATGGGGTTTCACGACACCTATACAACACTAATGTCGGCGGACTCGCTGGAACAATTTGTATGCAGAGTAGTTACTTGATATGAGTTCAATAGAAAATTCAGTCGATCGAGTTAAAAAATTTGTTAGGAAGCTTCCGGACGAACCCACCGACGGAGATAGGACAGTAGTGCTACGCACATGTTTACGACTACGGTATCTCTATGTACATACACTACACACAAAATATGCCGGAGCGGGCTTGGCGATGGGCTTTGACACTTCTTTTAAGGCCAGGATTATAGCATATCCTCCGTTACGTCAGCATTCATGACAAAACTTAATAAGGAGCGGGATCAATAGCTTATAGATCCTGATACCTAGAGGATTTAAAGGTCTCAGACCTTTTCCCAGAAATAATAGGACAATAGATTGAAGAAAAAAAATGCACATCAACTTATTACACGACTATTTAGTTAACAGCTTATTTTAATTTTGGTATAACGTTGTCATTGTTCGTGTTAATTAAGACACTTTGTAACTGTTAGCTGCTTTGAACGTATCCAAACGAATATCAACTAAATTCCTTATTACATTTTGTCCTGATGCTTGTAAAACACGATGAAAACCCGCATCGTTTCTTAAAATCTTTTTCTCAAAATTGCCCGTACCCGCGCCCGCTCGCTCGACCGCACCACGTGCGAAGCGATTCACAGAGATCATTTCTTCTTCACGGTCGAGTTACTAGTACAACTACTCGAGCGAGTCTGCACACCGTCTTTCTTCAGTAAACTGACTCCAAAAGCGGGGCACTTTTTCCTTAGAGCCTTAATTTTGTAGAGTTTGTTCCCCTGGGAGTTATTCGTCTCCTCGAAGTTATCAGGCGTCACGTCGGCGGTTATGACCGAGTTTGACAAGCAATCCATCGGCTCCGGACTACTGGACTTGTCCCGTTTCCGCCTAAACCTGAACGGGGTTTCGAGCGAGTCCGCGGATATATTCGTAACGTTAGTGTCGCTGGAAGACAGATCCTGAGTGGCCTCGAGGTTGCTTTTCGGAAGATTACTCTTTGGCAGCTTCTTGCGCGAGTTGGAATTGGATCGGACGATGAGTTTTTTGCGGGCGGTCGCGTTGGGGGCTGTTTTGTTTTGGGTGACCGCTTTTAAGTTCGGTTCAGAGGGTAGTCTGTTTTTGCCGTTGAGGTGGCAGTTTTCGGTTAAAGCGGAGAGCGTCGAAGTGACGTTGCTGAGTGAGTTAACGACGGAGGTGTCGCTGGCTGTGATTTTGGTGACTGTTTTTCTTGTGAGGGTTTTGAGGGGGCTTGCGCCGTGGGTGTAGCCTAAAGTGGGACGGGCGAGGTTCGCGCGTTGCCCGTGGAAACTGCTCTTACCTGTGAAGGGTTTGACCGCGGAGAGTTTGTTGGCTTGCGAGTTGGCACTTCTTGTGGGGGGGAAGGTGGAAGTCTTGGCAGCATAGGCTTTCAGCGTGGAGTTGATCCGCGGCTGGGGCTTGAGGTTGGTAGAATGCGCGTTGCGGACGTTATTAGTTGGCGTCATGTAGCCAGGCTTGGGCGCGAACACGGTCTTGGTTGGCAGCATTGGAGTGGGCGTGGTCTTGTACTTGCCGATGACTGATGTGACGTTGTTTTCGTAGTCCGTCTCGTTGGCGTTTAAGACATTGGCGTTGTCCAACTAGAAAGAAAGGATTCATAAGATACTTTTAAAGGACAAATTATCTTTAATTACATTGAAATTTAAAAAATAGTCATTGACCGTGGGACCGCAGCAATAAGGGCGTTTTTATGCTTGACAGTTGGCATCACTGGCGATTGCCATAACATTACCCAACAGTGGCGCCATCCTGGTGAGTGCAAATGCGATAGTCCTCCTACCGCTTCAGGGCTCACCAGTTGGCGCTACTGTCTTCGCCACTAGCACGTGACAGTGACCTTACTCTACAGTGGCGCTAACTTTACTCATTATGTAGGCGAGTCATCAGCCTGTAGCAAAATTCACGTATTTTGAAACAGTCAAAATATCGTTGGCGTTTACAAGTCGTCCTATAGAAAAAGAGTCATAAATCCGTATTCACGTGTCATTTCAATAGAACGATTACTCGTTAAGATCGCAACTCAGCGATTGATTTGTCATTTTTGACGTTTTCACTGGCATCCGATTAAACCAAAATTCAAAATAGGTGAATACCGCGGAGGCACGATCGAATACGCATAAAAACGAAATCGAAACCAAATCGTGTGATTAATACGTGAATACGAAAAGTGACACCAGCGATCAAATCGCTTGCATGTCGTTGAATTTTTGATACGTGTATTATAGGTCACTGGTCCAAACGTTTACCGACCTCCAGACCAACTGAAAACCTAGCCGGTCGTGACGTCACGCTCACCTTATCAGTGGGCTTGTTGAGTATAGCCTGGAGAGTCACAGGCCGGTCGGGCGGCGGTCGAACAGGTGATAAGTCGCAGTAGATGCCTCTGGTAAATACCGGCAGCGAGGTGATGTCACACGCTCACCTTAATATCAGTCTTATTGAGGATGGCTTGCAAGGTGACGGGCCCTAAATGTGACGTCACACGCTCTCTTTGTCAGTGGACTAGTAGGATCAAGGGCCGGTTTGGTGGCGGTCGCAAGACACGTGACGTCACGCTCATTTTTTCAGTCTTACTGAGGATGGCTTGTGGGGTTACAGACCGGTCACGTCGCTACACGTGACGTCACACGCTCACCTTATCAGTGACCTACACGTGACGTCACACGCTCACCTTGTCAGTGGGCAACACGTGACGTCACACGCTCACCATATCAGTGAGCTACACGTGACGTCACACGCTTATTTTGTCAGTGGGCTACACGTGACGTCACACGCTTATTTTGTCAGTGGGCAACACGTGACGTCACAAGCTTACCTTATCAGTGGGCTTGTTGAGTATAGCCTGGAGAGTCACAGGCCGGTCGGGCGGCGGTCGAACAGGTGGTAAGTCGCAGTAGATGCCGCGAGTGAATACCGGCAGCGAGGTGATGTCACACGCTCACCTTATCAGTCTGATTGAGGACGGCTTGCAAGGTGACGGGCCTTACATGTGACGTCACACGCTCTCTTTGTTAGTGGACTACTAGTCACGGGCCAGTTTGGCGGCGAGCGCAGGACACGTGACGTCACACGCTCACTTTATCAGTCTTATTGAGGATGGCCTGTAGGGTTACGGGCCGGTCACGTCGCTACACGTGACGTCACAAGCTCACCTTATCAGTGAGCTACACGTGACGTCACACGCTTATTAGTTATTTTGTCAGTGGGCAACACGTGACGTCACAAGCTTACCTTATCAGTGGGCTTGTTGAGAATAGCCTGGAGAGTCACAGGCCGGTCGGGCGGCGGTCGAACAGGTGGCAAGTCGCAGTAGATGCCTCTGGTGAACACCGGCAGCGAAGTGATGTTACACGCTCACCTTATCAGTCTGATTGAGGATGGCTTGCAAGGTGACGGGCCTTACATGTGACGTCACACGCTCTCTTTGTCAGTGGACTAGTAGGATCACGGGTCGGTTTGGTGGCGGTCGCAAGACACGTGACGTCACACGCTCACCTTGTCAGTCTCATTGAGGACGGCTTGCAAGGTGACGGGCCTGACATGTGACGTCACACGCTCTCTTTGTCAGTGGACTACCAGTCACGGGCCAGTTTGGCGGCGAGCGCAGGACACGTGACGTCACACGCTCACTTTATCAGTCTTATTGAGGATGGCCTGTAGGGTTACGGGCCGGTCACGTCGCTACAGGTGACGTCACAAGCATACCTTATCAGTGGGTTTGTTGAGTATAGCCTGGAGAGTCACGGGCTAGTCGTGCGACGGTCGCTGTCACTACACGTGACGTCACACGCTCACCTTATCAGTGAGCTACACGTGACGTCACACGCTTATTTTGTCAGTGGGCTACACGTAACGTCACACACTCACCTTGTCAGTGGACTAGTAGGGTCACGGGCCGGTTCGGCGGCGGTCGCAAGACACGTGACGTCACACGCTCATCTTTTTAGTCTTATTAAGGATGGCCTGTAGGTTTACGGGCCGGTCACGTCGCTACACGTGACGTCACACGCTCACCTTATCAGTGGGTTTGTTGAGAATAGCCTGTAGAGTCACAGGCCGGTCGGGCGGCGGTCGAACAGGTGGTAAGTCGCAGTAGATGACGTCACACGCTCACCTTGTCAGTGGGCAACACGTGACGTCACAAGCTTACCTTATCAGTGGGTTTGTTGAGTACAGCCTGGAGAGTCACGGGCTAGTCGTGCGACGGTCGCTGTCACTACACGTGACGTCACACGCTCACCTTATCAGTGAGCTACGCGTGACGTCACACGCTTATTTTGTCAGTGGCAACACGTGACATCACAAGCTTACCTTATCAGTGGGCTTGTTGAGTATAGCCTGGAGAGTCACAGGCCGGTCGGGCGGCGGTCGAACAGGTGGCAAGTCGCAGTAGATGCCTCTGGTGAACACCGGCAGCGAGGTGATGTCACACGCTCACCTTGTCAGTCTCATTGAGGACGGCTTGCAAGGTGACGGGCCCTAAATGTGACGTCACACGCTCTCTTTGTCAGTGGACTAGTAGGATCACGGGCCGGTTTGGTGGCGGTCGCAAGACACGTGACGTCACGCTCATTTTTCAGTCTTACTGAGGATGGCCTGTAGGGTTACGGGCCGGTCACGTCGCTACAGGTGACGTCACAAGCATACCTTATCAGTGGGTTTGTTGAGTACAGTCTGGAGAGTCACGGGCTAGTCGTGCGACTGTCGCTGTCACTACAAGTGACGTCACACGCTCACCTTATCAGTGAGCTACACGTGACGTCACACGCTTATTTTGTCAGTGGGCTACACGTGTCGTCACACACTCACCTTGTCAGTGGACTAGTAGAGTCACGGTCCGGTTCGGCGGCGGTCGCAAGACACGTGACATCATACGCTCACCTTATCAGTCTTATTGAGGATGGCCTGTCACGTCGCTACAAGTGACGTCACAAGCTTACCTTATCAGTTGGTTTGTTGAGGATAGCCTGGAGAATCACGGGCTGTCGCTGTCACTACACGTGATGTCACACACCTTGTCAGTGGGCTACACGTGACGTCACACGCTCACCTTGTCAGTGGGCAACACGTGACGTCACAAGCTTACCTTATCAGTGGGCTTGTTGAGAATAGCCTGGAGAGTCACAGGCCGGTCGGGCGGCGGTCGAACAGGTGGTAAGTCGCAGTAGATGCCTCTGGTGAATACCGGCAGCGAGGTGATGTTGTGCCGCCGTCGGTACGCCTCACCCTCGGCAAGCATTCGCGGCTGGATGCTAGAACACGATGTATAAGGAATAATTAGTTAATTGGTTTTATAGTTATCATTTTTGGATGTTGTCAAGCATAGGCATATCAAGCTTTGGGCTTACCCCTAAGTAAAGGGGACGTTCATTGATGACCAAGCCTTGGGAACACAGAAGCTGCAGTGGGTGTAACAATAGATTGGTAATGTTCAGTAGATACGGTGAGGAGATGAAGGTGAGGTGTTGTCACATGAACATTAGGTTACGTTTCCCTTTGGACTCGGTCACGGCACACTTCTAAAAGTCATACTACCTCTATAAGATGTTTTTTTGTTGGCAGTAGGCTTGAAAAAGGACACTTTTGGTCTCTGCTGTGAGATGGAATCGCTTCCTTCCGAGCGGATGCTGTGCTCGGTGATCAATGAGTTGTTACCATCTCGTTATTCTATTTATACTAAGCAGGGTAGAAAACTCCGATACTGCGATGCACGATTATAGGCGCGGTAGTGTATGCCGTAGTAAGGTATGTGACAGCGCCATCTGTTGGGCGCAGGCCGTAGTGGCGTGTTGATAGATGCCCGATGCGACAGTGACGTCACACTACTAACTTCTGCCGTGAAGCGTGGTGCTTCATGTGGCAGCGACAGGCCGGCTGCGAGTGACGTCACTCTACTCACTTCTCCAGGAACCACTGCTGGTGGCCGATGACGGAGCCGGGGCGGCAGACGCGCAGCCAGGCGATGGCCTCACGCGCCGTGAAGCGTGGTGCTTCATGTGGCAGCGACAGACCGGCTGCGACAGTGACGTCACTCTACTAACTTCTGCCGTGAAGCATGGTACTTCACGTGGCAGCGACAGACAGGCTGCGACAGTGACGTCACTCTACTCACTTCTGCCGTGAAGCGTGGTGCTGGTGCTCCATGTAGCAGCGACGGACCGGCTGCGACAGTCAGGCTGCGACAGTGACGTCACTCTACTAACTTCTGCCGTGAAGCGTGGTGCTTCATGTGGCAGCGACAGGCCGGCTGCGAGTGACGTCACTCTACTCACTTCTCCAGGAACCACTGCTGGTGGCCGATGACGATGGCCTCGCGCGCCGTGAAGCGTGGTGCTTCATGTAGCAGCGACAAGCCGGCTGCGAGTGACGTCACTCTACTCACTTCTCCAGGAACCACTGCTGGTGGCCGATGACGATGGCCTCGCGCGCCGTGAAGCGTGGTGCTTCATGTGGCAGCGACAGACCGGCTGCGACAGTGACGTCACTCTACTCACTTCTCCAGGAACCACTGCTGGTGGCCGATGACGGAGCCGGGGCGGCAGACGCGCAGCCAGGCGATGGCCTCGCGCGCCGTGAAGCCGTGGTGCTTCATCATGTAGCACGCGATCAGGGTGCCTGTTCTGCCGAGACCCGCTGTAGACAATAATAATAATATAAGCTTTATTAGAATCGCTAAAATCAAGTGACAGTGGGCGGGGCACATAGCTCGGAGCAGAAAAGTTCTTGAGTGGCGACCACGAGCCGGAAGACGTAGCGTGGGCAGGCCTCCCACTAGGTGGACCGACGATCTGGTGAAGGTCGCGGGAGGTTCCTGGATGCGAGCGGCGCAGGACCGGTCTTGGGGAAGGCCTTTGTCCAGCAGTGGACGTCTTTTAGCTGAAACGAAAGAAGCTTTATTAGACATCTCCGACTTTTGATTGGAAAATCCGACCCCGCGTAACGGGATAAGGCGAGGCTAAAGAAATTGAGCCCCTTCCTCCAAAAAGGGCTCACTCTTTGACAGAATAGCATAAGACACTGATGTTCAGCAGAACGTTTTTGGTTACTGTGCATCTCTACCAATAGAAAACAATGTACAATGACATCACGGTTGCTTCATTTCGCTGTTTACAAGGTTTTGGCAGGAAATATAACGATTTCTGGAATTTAATAATGGCAAATAATTCACGATACGATTTCAGAAGAAAGATACAAAATTTTTCTTAGTTAAAAATGTTTAATTGTTGCACTTTGTTTAAGGTCTCATATTGTTTAAATTTTACATGGAGAAGCGGTAATGGTGAAGGAAACCTATTCAAAAACTGTTTTATCGAGTAAAACTGAAGTAACTTAAATAAGTTTTTACTGAACATAATTCGACAAAACAATTACATAATTTACTTCATCTTTATGTAATAGATACTAAAAATCAAAGACAGCGCTTTTGTTCAATACTGAATTTATCAACCACAGTCACGCAAGAAATAGCAGCACATAATTTTCATTAGTTAACAATTTGTAAGGATAAGTTGTAGTACATAAATATGTAAGTTTTATAACGTAAGATTTTTGGCAATTAAATGTTAGTATAACGCGAAGCACCACTTATGTAAACGCATTATGATGGTCACGTGGTGCGCTCGGGGGCGTGGTCACTATCAGAAGTCGGTAGCAATAATTATTACCCTAATGACTGGCAATAAGGTCCATTTAAGCCTGCTGTTATCTTCGTTCGTTTTAGCCAAATAATGTCCACAACTGGACAAAGGCCTCCTCCAAGGGGCTATATCCGTCTCTCTCTCACATTGCGAGAAAGTGATTTGGGTAGCAACTCTCATGTAAAACCTAGTAACCAAAATAAAATGAGCCGTACCTTTACAATGGACAGCCACAGCGCCCTTAGCAGCCTCAGAGATCCGTATAAACCGGTTCACTATGAGATCCGACTGCACAGATCCATCCACGAAGAATAACTCCCGATGCTCGAACTCGTGCGCGGTGAACTGACGCGCGTCATACGACTTTTTGTTGAGCCGCACTATGGTGGTCACGAGGGGGCGTGGTCACTAAATAGGCCGACAACTTAACGTGCCACCCTAAACACTACTTTAATGGCCGGCAGTAAGGTCGATTTGAGCCTGCCAATATCCAACTAATAGATTTCTCGACTAGCTCTTGTGTTCTGCAATCAACTCTCTGGCTAGGGCGCCACACTCTTATCCACATTTTCAATTAATATTCATCTCTTTCACACATACCGTGGTGCTGTCAAGAGCGAAAGCGACAAAAACAAATAATTATCCTACCTTTACAATGGACCGCAACTGCGCCCTTAGCAGCCTCAGAGATCCGTATAAACCGGTTCACAATCAGATCCGACGGCACAGATCCATCCACGAAGAACAACTCCCGATGCTCAAATCCATGCGCGGTGAACTGACGCGCGTCATACGACTTCTTGTTGAGCCGCACTATGGTGATCACGTGGAGCGTTCAGGGGGCGTGGTCACTACATAGGCCGGTAACTTAACGTGCCACCCTAAACACTACTTTAATGACCGGCAATAAGGTCGATTTGAGCCTGACAATGTCTAACTTATAGATTTCTCGACTAACTCTTGTGTTCTGCAATCAACTCTCTGGCTAGGGCGCCACACTCTTATCCACATTTTCAATTAATATTTATCTCTTTCACACATACCGAGATGCTGTCATGAGCGAAAGCGACAAAAAATAATTGTCCTACCTTTACAATGAACCGCCACTGCGCCCTTAGCAGCCTCAGAGATCCGTATAAACCGGTTCACAATTAGATCCGACGGCACAGATCCATCCACGAAGAACAACTCCCGATGCTCGAACCCGTGCGCGGTGAACTGACGCGCGTCATAATGACTTCTTATTGAGCCGCACTATGGTGGTTACGTGTAGCGTTCAAGGGGCGTGGTCACTACATAGGCCGATAACTTAACGTGCCACCCTAAATACTACTTTAATGGCCGGCCATAAGGTCGATTTGAGCCTGACAATGTCTAACTTATAGATTTCTCGACTAACTCTTGTGTTCTGCAATCAACTCTCTGGCTAGGGCGCCATACCATATCCATTCATCAGCTATATTCATCTCTCTTGCACATACCGAGGTGCTGTCATGAGCGAAAGCGACAAAAAATAATTGTCCTACCTTTACAATGAACCGCCACTGCGCCCTTAGCAGCCTCAGAGATCCGTATAAACCGATTCACAATCAGATCCGACGGCACAGATCCATCCACGAAGAACAACTCCCGATGCTCGAAACCATGCGCGGTGAACTGACGCGCGTCATATGACTTCTTATTGAGCCGCACTATGGTGGTGACGTGGTGCGTCCTGAAGTATTCATGGTAGTGTTCCGGGCTGTGCAGGTGGTAGCCCCGGTCGACCCGGGACCGGTGGTGCGGCCCGGAGAAAGCCAGCATCTTGCCGGGGACTATCCAGTTGAGGTCGCCGTTTTCCACTTTCTGGAACGGAGATTATTAAAGGTTATAGTAGCTCATTTTTTAATCATATGTCTATAGTACCTCCCTATGAATTAATGCAAAGATATGTCGAACAGCGGCGGCAATAAAGACACTGGACTAAATACCATCAGTTAAGAGCATATCCAACGCCTTCCTGCTACCTTGCGCTGGATGTAGGCCGCTACCAACCGCGTTATATGGAAATCATTGGCTGAAATGATGATGATGATGAAGAGCATATCAGTATGCTGATTGTCCTCTCATACCTTATAGAACAGGTACTGATCAGCGTCGAAATGCTCGAAGTCAAAGAAGCGCGCGTCGTGAGCCACCTTCATGCCATGCAGGACGTCTAGCAGAGATATGTCGAACAGCGGCGGCCCGCCCGACGCGTCACGGAAACTCAGGAGCGACCAGTCCGCGCCATCGGTCAGGTTTTTGTACACTACTGCGGAATATAGTGCCAAAAAGGACACTAGACTATTTCTTGACAGCTAAAAACATGTCAGGTTTTTGCTATCCTACCTCATAGAATAGGTACTGATCAGCGTCGAAATGCTCGAAGTCAAAGAAGCGCGCGTCGTGTGCCACCTTCATGCCATGCAGGACGTCTAGCAGAGATATGTCGAACAGTGGCGTCAATAAGAACCCTTGGCTAAATACCCAGTCAGTCATGGCAGGACAGAACACTAATCATCCTCTCTTACCTCATAGAACAGGTACTGATCAGCGTCGAAGTGCTCGAAGTCGAAGAAGCGCGCGTCGTGGGCTACCTTCATGCCATGCAGGACGTCTAGTAAAGATATGTCAAACAGCGGCGGCCCGCCCGACGCGTCACGGAAACTTAGAAGGGACCAGTCCGAGCCATCGGTCAGGTTCTTGTACACCGCTGCCGGACTGCCGTCCAGGTAGATTATCTGGAACAATAATTGCATGGGATATAAACTCAGAAGTCATTAAGTTAGACCACCATGTTCGTTCGTTCGTTCGTTTCAGCCAAATAACGTCCACTGCTGGACAAAGGCCTCCCCCAAGGTTTTCCATAATGAACGGTCCTGCGCTGCCCGCATCCAGGCTCTTCCCGCGACCTTTACCAGATCGTCGGTCCACCTAGTAGAAGGCCTGCCCACGCTACGTCTTCCAGCCCGTGGTCGCCACTCAAGAACTTTCCTGTCCAAACGGCCATCGTCTCTACGAGCTATGTGCCCCGCCCACTGCCACTTGATTTTAGCAATTCTGCCAGCTATGTACCCAATAAGATTTCGAACTTTCAAGTTCTACTACATTTGAGTCTGCTTGTGACCAGAGTTGTGGCTATACAAAGGATGCTTGCCTAAGTGAAGCAGCAACGCTATGCAAAGTTGAACGCACAGCATTTAATAGAGCTCTGTGATTAGTTCGTGTGTGTCACTCCGCCACTCAAGTATTGTCTACGAATAGGTTTTAGGACCCTGTGCGTCCACGCGCACTGTGAGATCTCATAGTAATGTTTGTGAACACGGGTGTAGATGTCACGTTTGAGAACCATTTGTTCTCGGTCCTAAAAGAAAATCTCTACGTTGTTTTACTATCTCACAATTTAAGTTCACCAAGTATTTTAATCCTTCTCTAACCAACAACAATGCGATTTTGGGCTGACATTATCATATCTTTATCTTTCACACAGCTACACTGCTGCTGCGCTTGCCAAAACACTCAAGAATTGTCATTAGGTTGCAGATTCTGCTTAAGAAGCTAAAGTTGCAGCGTTCGTCAAAATATCTCTATGTAAAATTCATTTACAAAGCACAGCACCTACGTAACATTATGAGTAAGCTTCTGAATGTTATTAATTCGATTTTTGAAAAATAAACCCCGATTGTTAAGAGTGGATTCAAAAAATTAAAAATATTTTATTCAATTTAGACCACTAATGGCACTTATGAACTGAAATGTAATTCACTAAAATACTTCAGCCATCTAACTCGACAATAGACCTATTCTCGTTTTCACCATCAATCCTTAATTTTAAGTGCCCTATGGTAAACATTCACAGGAATTTTGTTTTCATAGGGGTCACTTAAAAATTAGGGATCGATGGTGAAAACGGGCACTAGCGTCCTTTAACTGCAATACATTACCGTCGCCTACATAATAATAATAAGTAATGATATGCTACAAAAAAGTGGATTTCGAAAGTAAAAATGGTATCAACTAGCTACAACAAAATCACATTACAACAAAGAAAACACTAAAAAGGCCATTGTCCCCATGTGGGTAGACTGTGGGAGGACTATGCTATAGCCTGTAGAGAACAGTCTAATTAATCAGTATCTTAAGTTTAGGCATCAAGAACGGCTTTTGATACAAAGTTTGACAAACAGGAGGGAGGGGAACTATTCTGGGACTAAAAAAAATACTTCAATTAATTATAGAAAATAGTCAAACTGCAGTGCCTAGTCCAGGGTCTCAACTCGGATATGGTTAAAATGTGCTGTTTTTACTGTTATGGTGCGTCCACATAGGGCGCACGGGAACGCGCGGCACGCTGGTCATCCTGCTCACCCTGCTCTTGAGTGAGTAGGATGTCGAGTTCGCCGCGCGAGCCCGTTCGCCCAGTGTGGACGCACCATTATAACAAAAGGGTTAGTAACAAGTTAATTGCCATAACCTTGAATTTAGTTGAGCCCTAAGGCTCACAATGTCAGCAGTTATCAACTTATTACAATGTTACATGAAGTAACTAGGCTTCCGACTTTGTTTGCAGTGAACTGGCTGTTCTAGTCGTCGTACAAGTTAATATGCAAAAATAATGCGATCCAATTAACCCAGCCGACAAAACTGCACAGCAACAATGTACCCACTCCTCTGAATTGCAGTTTATTGCCCCACATTGAGTAATCTCGTATGCATGCGGCTCTGCAAATTTTTATTACGTCACGTCTCCATAATATGTAATTTCGCGTTGTGCTGTAATTTATTTATTAACATTGTTTTAAATTTTCGTTCTACTACTTTTTCATTAGTCGTTAAACTTCTTTACCATCAATGGACATCCTTTTTCTGAGTTGTCACACATAAAATCTATGAGGAAAATGCCCCGTAGATTTTATACAGCAATCGTATAAAAAACGTTAAGTACATTTTTTTATTTAACTACTATTTATTTATTGATAGCATAGATAGATAGTATAAAATGTAATTTCAAACCCAGGATTTCAGGGCCAAAAGTTAAAACGAAATGATATTAGAGAAGTTGCACCTTAGAATTATTGGCTAAAACCGTGTCAACTACCAAATTAAGCAGGTAATAGCGTAGAATGAGAAAGTCTCCGAAGTCTCCAAATTAAGTTTTAGCCATAAAAGTGATTTGTGTTCCCGAATCGCATTGTACTCGCGTGTAGAGTGGGACCATCTACGCAAATTGCGCTACTTCACAGGCAAAACTAAATCGCGGTGCAAAATGCGTGAAATCACAAACTTTGTACTCAAAATAAGGTACGATGTGATATTTGTCATCAAATTAGGGCTTGGTCCTACGGAGCAATCCCGATTTTTGAAGGATTCCGTATAGTACACGTGTTATAATATTAACTTTCACACGAACATCCCGTTTTTTCCGCAAAAAACCGATCCATTCGAATTTGTAATTCTAAATTCAAACAAAAATGTGTTCACATGACAATCCAGTTTTGCTGGATCCTGCATTACTGAATCTCGCAAAACTAGATTGCTGTTAGGAACAAACCCTTAAGGGTTTGTTTGCCTTAAGGCACAGCTTAAGGTGAGTATAGACTTGCATTTACTTATAACAGAACAACGAGCCGCTCTATGTAACGTCTAGTGTTTCACCCTGTCATGATCCAAAAGTCATACATTTTACCTGTATTGTACCATTCGCAAGAACGTTACATAGAAATGCTCTAGTATATACTCACCTTTTAGGTGCCAAAACCAACAAACCGCTTGTCAAGAGCTCCCCAAGACATTTTTTGACGCACAGCGGCATAAACAACATCAAAGGCCGGCAGAATTACCATTTCTAGCAAAAAAGTTGCCCCACATTTCTCAAGCAAAGTCGGTTCGTTAACTCTCCTTGCGGTATACTGAATTAATAAGTTTCCAAGTCTGTGTCAGCTATTGCCAGGTGTAGTGTGAATCGGTTCGGAACGGAACACGAATGCAACTTAATTAAACGGTAAAGTTTGATCCGCCCTTGAAACTGCAGCCTTCGATTGACGTGCTCGAAACAGGCAATTTCAGAGTTCAATTTCAAGAGAGAGAATTTCAGCAAGGAAACCAATTTGTTCAACTATGCTATCAAACTAAGTCAGTTTCAGACTATTAGGTACTCCTGTGGGAGAAGCGTAAAGGTCAAGGTGTTATGTGACTTACGCCCGTATTCACAAACATTACTATGAGGTCTCACAGTACGCGTGGACGCATAAGGTGACACACGAACCAATCACAGAGCTCTATTCAACGCTGTTCGATTTGCTGTTTCACTTAAGCAAGCATCGTTTGTGAATACGGGCGTTAATCCCTTTGGTAGATCTACCAGGATGCATATGTATAGAATAGGGATGTTTCCTGGGTCAAAAAGCAAGAGTTTTAATTAGTCCGTCAGTTAACTTATCAAAAAATACTCTACACGTATTTTGCACTTTTTCAAACTAATGAAAATTTAAAGAGATAAAGCGCGCCAAAGTTCATAAGAAGAGGCCCGTGACGTCAATGCTTGCATAAAAGTGCCGCACGTTGTGACGTCGTGCGGAACTTCAACGCACCATAACTAATAAATAATAATAATAATAAATATCCTTGGACATTTTTACACTGCGCCGCTAGTCCCAAACTAAGCAAAGCTTGTACTATGGGTACCGGGGCGGTCCGCCCCGGGTGCCAAGCATCAGGGGGTGACAAAGTCGCGCAGATTAGTACACGCATGGCAAGGACGGTCGTGATGTCATTTATTTATTTATTTATTTATTATTCATTATTGAGCAATTACATATTTGATCCAAATAGCGTCCTAAATCCTTTTTAGGTTTGTCTAGACACTATTGTTCTCTATACAAATAAAAACAAACGTTTTAGTATAAGCATTCACAACACTTTCAGATATACAAAATATTATTTTAGCGAGTGCGCACTACGATGACGAAAGACTCGACGTTCGATCGCGATCGCAGACCGGTTGGGTACGCATTGTCGTTGTGTGCGTAGATAGTACACAAAGCCCCGTCCAGGCATGTCCGTCATGACAGGGGGGGTGCCATTCTGGGGTGCCTTAGGCTATATAATTTATATTATGACAGGGGGGTTGCCGCCCCGGGTGCCAACCTATGCTACGCCGCCACTGCATAATATGTCAATCAATGTGACCCCTCCCTTGCCGCTCCATCCAATACCTCAGTAAACAGCTATACCTATAGTTTATTGTCTATTCTAACAGTAAAAAAATTAATAAAAAAGGATATGTCATCATCAACTAGAACATGTTAATAAAATGTTATATCCAAGTACAAATACAAAATCGAGTGAACTGTAACACCGACGCGGAAGTAGCGACTAGCGACATCGCGCGGTCGACACGGTGCGAATTCTTCCGCTAGCGACGTCCGCGTGGAATTGTATTCGGTACTTAATCATTTAATACAGCATACATTTGCAGTTTATCCATTACTAGCTCCTACCCACGGCTTCACACGGTCTGTCACAAAATCTTTATTAAGTTTCATGAGATCTAAATCTGTTGATTTCTTACCGAAAACATTATGATGTTTTATTGAAGATCCACTGAAAAGGATCGATACACTCATTTTCAAGGTTTGTTTTTGGGATAAAATGTACCTCCTGATGCCCTTCTCCTATTCATCAAAACATTTAATCAATGGCTTCGATGTGAAGGGTAACAGAGAAAAAGTTCTAAAAATGTTTAGCTTTTTTCCTGTATCCTGGCCCGTAAAAAATCGCCTTCAGCTATAAGACCAAAATTGTACATCTTATTGCTTAATTTTGGGCTTTTGGTAGATAAGTTAACGACGTGAAAGAATTACAAATGAACGTTCTTTCGCGATTTGAGTTTTTGTGTCCGTAATTGGGGAACGGATAATGTGTTCCCACGCGGTTAATTGTCCAATAAATAACCGCACGAGAACCAGTGAAACTAAAGTACTAGTGTATATGCATAGGGTTACCAGATCTAAGAATCGACTTAGGAATTACTAATGCCTTATTATCGAGTCTATCTTTCACTGTAGCCCATGTTGACATTTCAATTTGCATGAGAGAGATGATTCACATGCTTTCATAGATTCAGTCCCGTAATAGGTCATATTATTTAACGTTTCGTCAGTTTTACCGGGGCATTCCCATCTTCCCCGACAGGAGAATGGGAATTTTCGTTTCATATTCACACAGAAAGTAAGACAAGGTAAAACATGTCCGGGTTAATCCGCAATTTCAGACGCTTGGCAACCCTAAGTGCATTAGACACACGGTATTGTCATTTAGCTTCAATTCCGAGAAATAATAGAAATGTCATCTGCTCCCAGCTAAAACAATAACACGTTTAGAGCATGCATTTTAGTGTGATGGAGAGCAAGTAACGACAGAAAATTAACAGCATGTGAAAGCTAGAAGACTGAAAGTTTTTTCATTACCATTAAAACTTAGAATGTTGAAAGATACACAAAATATACTGAATCTTGGTCACAAACAGTATCCAGCTAAGAGTGAATTGTATTGTAATGCAGTGCTTTGTACAAAGCATTGAAATGCAGACTCCATTTTAGTTTATGACTCAACAGTTCTTCAGATATTTCATCTGTTACCGTGAAAAATAATCTCTTTGTGTGACTTCATTCATAGCAATTTGCAACGACTTGCTATTCAAAGATTAAAGAGCATTCCGGTCTATATTATCTAGCACTAGCTGTCCCCGCGACTTCGAACGCGTGAAAAATATTATAGTTGAAATGTTTCCCGTTTTTGCAACATTTTTCTTTACTGCTCCGCCCATAAGAGCCAAAACCAAAGCCTTTCCGATAAATGGGCTATCCAACGCAACATTTTTCAAATCGGATCAGTAGTTCCTGAAATTTATGAACAAACAAACTCTTCAGCTTTATAATATTAGTATAGATAGTCTCACGTGTCACCAAGATGACCATATCATTCATGGTCTACATTTAATACTAAATTGGAAATTATGTCACCGCTTCGCGATTGGCGGGCACATACACTCGGCAATTGTCGGTAACGCTATACGGGTAGACCCACGCGGTAAGGCTAGCTCGATTGCTAACCAAGGCCGAGGATCGATTAAACAGATCAATCGATTTAATGTGAGAACTACAAATTGGAACAGCTAAAGTGGTGAACGAAATAATTCGTAATTGAAACGAATGATATAATTGCGATTGGGTTGTATCGGTTTTCGAGTAGGTTTAAAGATCGAAGGGTCTCCATTGTTGGCTCACTCAAAACACAAAACAATGATTGCTACGTCATTCATCTTGAATTCTTTTTAAGGTTTCGGGCACTTTCGGGTTTGCCATATTGTTTCACTCGGAGGAATGGTGAAAAATTTTTAGCTAAAAATTTCCCTAACTCCTCTCAAACGGTCAACTTTTAAGACCTGATTGGTTTTATTTTCTTTCTGCGAAGATAACTATGCAAAGGTGATGAGCAGATAAATACAAAAATATATTTAAAAATACTAAAAGTTTAACAGGTATCCCCAGTTCAGAGCAGAAAATTCCGCTTGAAATATGAGAGCTCCATTTCAGAAAGTTAAATTGGACGTTGTCAGTTCTCGGAAAAAAGTTACTTGTTCACGTATTTTCCGACTCATCCAGTTTTACCCACACTCATGCAAGCCTGTATGATTTATTTATCATATCATGTATAATTATGATGTATAGAAGAAGCATAGCATAACGTCATGTTTTTCTGCATTAGCACCTACCTTACATTTTATGTTTCTATTTATGACAAACGGTAATAAAACAAAGAATCAATTCATAAAACGCAGAGGACAATAAAAATAAACACTAATGGAACTGTTTGAAACCATATACTCTTCACAATTTAGAATGCTCAAAAGTAGGTGCTATCGTAGATTCTAAACTCGATGTGATTTAAAATTTGCATTGTGCCCTGTGTTTGGTCTACTTAAATGTCAAAAAGGCTCAATGTATGCTTGAAATTGTATCGAGTTTTGGCTTAGAACTGAATCTGTCTGTAGATCTCTGTAGATTTTCATGCTCTTGGGAACTGACAGATATTATGTATAATGTACAACTAACATGATGACAATAGTCGCATATGATCAGTGTTTACGGTCCATTGCTTTAGGTATTTTATGCAACGCATCGTCCGAAACGACTTTGCATTGTAGCGTGCCGGCTCAAATTAGGGTTGTTGAGGATCGGATATTTCGGATACACAAGTTTTAGAATCTCAAGCCTTCAAGCATTCTTTGAGACATTTCTGCTTGAATCCACATTTTCGGATATTTTTAAATATGTATAACCGATAGATTCTGCCATCCCTGTACTCAATGCACCTCAGTGACAGGTGACAAAGCCGACGCGATACGGCCCTGCAGCGGTTCGGAAACAGATTAGATATGCAGTACTGATTGGGAAATTTGTAAATAGGAATCGATAATGTGTACAATGTACATAGACTTGGTACTTAAACTTTAATCTTTATTAATCCAGTTTAAGGTAATGCCATTACTTCTATCTTTGTAAGCGTTTTGCGGACTTGCGGTGTAATAGAGATGTGTATCCATCGGATTTAAGTGATTACATTAGTTAAAAACCCTTATTTCCTGTTTTCTTGGGTTTAGAAATAAGGAAACTGAATACATAAGTTGTTGCATGTACCATGCATTTATGGCAGGTCAGGTCAAAAGTCATCTCTACGAGTAGGTTCTCAACCTATGTATAAAAAATGTTCAAAATTAAATTCATTTATTTTCTGTAAGTAGGCTTTTAAAGATCAGTTTTAGATGTCCCAACCCTACCATTGTTGCATTTAAGTACATACTATCTAACTAAAAGAATTTTATTTTTATTCGTGTCTTCAACACTTTCCGAAGTGCAAATCGAATCCGACAATCGAGCGGCCTTGTACTTAATAAAAATACACAGTCTCGAACACAAATCGTAGTTGCAAAAATTACTGAACGTTGTATTTATTTAGGGAAGATATCAGACTTGACAGCTTTAAGGGCGCATAAAGAATATCACGTCAACCATCTAGGCATGCGAAGCCAGTAGGTAAAGGTATATTCGATAAATGGATTGGATTTCGAAGGAAAATAGGAAGGAATAAATGACAGATGAAAAATAGACCAAAGTTCCCATCAAATACAAAAAATGTTAGTCTGCTGAATCGTAGATTGAAGTTAGTCTGTAAAATAGACAGGCGTTTTTATTTTAGCTCACCCCTGGATTAATTTAGATGTTAAGGTAAAAAACAAAACTTATAAACTGAAGAAATAGGAAAAGGGCGTTAGGCAACTTGGCCAAGATTCCTTTGGCTGAATTGTCATTTCGGTCATTAAGTTACGTTTCTTACAGCTTAAAAACCAATCAAAGAAAGTTGCATAGTAGAAATAGCAGATAAATAATTTTAGTAAAAGAAAGGCAAAATCTTTACCTGATAGCAGCCGATAAGATACGCCGCATTGAGCCTGAGGGTTTCATTGTTGCTCGTGTAGTAAACGATTTTCTTCTTCGGGTTTTTCTCCAACTCCTCGTTGAGCTTCTTGCAGAATTGGTACAAATGGCACAGGTGATAAGGTCCAAAGTCGAAGTAGAAGTTCTCGTAGACGATGTCATCCTCGATGTGGAAATACTTGCTGTTCCGCGTAGGCTTCGGTTTGTACCCGGTCTTGAGGGTCGCGAAGTAAAGTCTGTCTGGAAAAAACGAAACCATTATTTGAGTGGTCTATATGGATGACGTTATGATTAATTTGAGAGTTTAACATGACATTTTAATTCTAAAGCGAGGTTCAGACTAGCAATAAAACTTGCAGAAGTTGACTTTCGCAAGCTGTATGCCACTATGTAAATAGCTGTGGTAACCCAACTTCTGCAAGATTTACAGCGGTGACAGCTTGCGGAAGTCAACTTCTGCAAATTTTATTGCTAGTCTAAACCTCGCCTATGACCCATTTGCTCGTTAAATAAGGAAATGTTGGTATGAAAGGTATATCAAGAGATATTATTATCGCAGTCGACATAAAAAAAAAAACTCTTGAACACTAAAAAGACCACACCTAAATAATTCCGAAATTGGTTAATTTATAGAAACCATTAAAAGTTTTAAGGATGTTTGAGTTTTGTTAGCAAATACTCGGAATTCACCATGACCTCGGGCAGCTCAGGAACGAGTAAATAACGAGCAGACATTACACAAGCTTTATAGCCCGATTTTTATTAGTGCCTACCACAATCGAACGGATGATTTTGTGAAAATGTAAAGTGGACTCTTAACACGCACAACTTAAGAATAGCCTCATGAAAAATTAAAATAGCGAATTTATTTGCTTGAAACTAAATGATATGCATGAATAAAAAACAGTGGGGTCGACGTGTACGTTATCGCATGACTGCCAGCAATATGCCGATGCATCGTCTAGACTTTTGCCTACCCTCACATTAGGGGGAAAACTTTATTTACCCTAGTGCAGTTAATTGGGTCTGAAATCAATTTGGAGGGGAGAATAACGTGTTGTTTTGATTGCTAGGGTGGATTTTCCGTTTTCGACTCAGTTTCTTAGTAACAATAAGCTGTGTCTAAAATTATTGACCAAGTAAAGTCCGAAAGTGTCTATCTACTATCTTCATCAAATGTCTATAATATTTCTGATAAATCTCGATGACCTGATCCAATGCTTCCGATTTAGCGTACGATTTCTATTTGTTACATAGTTGAGTACATAACTGCATCCACAAACAATTACTGTTACAAACTAAACCTAAACTAACATACATCAGCCATGTTGCAAACCTACACGAGCACACTCGCGTGGATTCCCCACTTAAAAGTTATTTCTGTACTTCTGCCGGCGATAACTTCCGCGGATGACCCATGAAGTAATGGCTGGTGCACACAACCCTGAACTTTAAATGCCGTGTGCACACAGTGCAGCACGGTAGTGCTTACGTCAAGTGGCTATAATTGTTGTACAGTTTCGTGCTTATATGAACATCTTGAGGATGGCACAAGGCATGGCAATCAGCGAAATACGCTCTAAGATGGCATCAACCAAAAGAGGATCAAATGACACATCTACCCCTAGAGCTGACTGATTAACACAATATTTTAGCAATATGGTTTTGTCTGTCACTTCCAGAGCGTTTACCTCCCAAAGATACAAGTAACATAGCGAGTCATCCACGAGAAAAACGTGTTTGAGAATTGAAAAACATTTTCATTGAAGAAGTGCTACGATTACTCGCCACAGTTGTAAAAATAGCAGCACATCAAGCTTAACGTTGTTGCCTAACCTTATGAAGCTGTAATACGTGCCTTTTCGCAACAAAAATGTATAGTCTGATTTGCCATCGACTGTATAAATTAAATTATCATGCATGAACGAAAGAACTGCCTTGCAAACAATACTATTGATCCAAACGTGTGCTTAAGAGTAATTTAGAGGTATTATTCAACAAGGTTCATATTCTGATACAGATATGACGTCCTTCGACTTCGAAACCATCCGACAATCCAGGCTACTCCGAAACGCTTTTTGCGAAGTTTTTGGTCTGTCACCGACGCTCATGCTGGCATATCGCTTTGCGTGAGAGGGATAGCAACTTCGAAACTTCGGGTAACGTTTTTCCACAGTTTTTCGGAGTAAACGCGCAGTTCAAGCGAACGCCTACAAAGAACATCAAAATTGTAAGTCTTCCTAAGACGTATCACGTAGGTACCAATTACCAAGGTTATCACATGATTAGTAATCAGAAACAGGTGTGACAGTATTCGACACGGTTCGTCGACCTGTCCTGCGCTCAGCACTTGTCGCCAGTTGCGCAATGGACCATGCAGATCAGTTCACCTTCAGGGCACGCCCGCGATTGTTTCCATGTTTTTATCAAACGATGAGGCCCCCTACAACTAATTCGACCTTGGTGACGGTGATCTGCCTTTATCCAATTTACTGCTGCATAAACCAATCAATCTGTTGTTTCGAGTTTTATAAATGGGGACCGTATTCACAAACTTTTCAAGTCGAATATGCATCGCTTTAAAGGATACAAATCCAGAAAATATTCTTTAGAGTAATCTTTTAGAATTTTATTGCATTTATGTCTCAGAGAAAATAATTCACTTGTGGTCTCTTTCATTACTTTTGTTTAATTAACAATAATAAACAAATTACCTATTCATTAGGCTCGCAGTATTCGAGACCAAGGGTGTAAACTAAAATGTTTAACAAGAGCACAATGGTAACCTTGTTAATGGGGTTTTAGTTCAATGGCACCCTAATGGCGTGGAATATGATATTTTAAGGGCACTTTCCACAGTCGGTCTATTTCGGAAAATGATTTCGATACTCTACTGTGTCCTTGTATGATTGATAGGTACTTGAAAAAGTATTAGTTGTACCAGGACTAAGGCTGGTACAAGCATCCGATTCTTTCTCACTCTGTGAATAAGATGAGACGCCTGAATGACATCTAGACGGGTTTAAAGATGAAGATAGAGGTCAGATACCCAGTTCCTCTGTGGTTGAGGATTCCGGGTGAAGCTTGCTTCCACCCCCCGTTCCGATCTTCATACTCCATCTGGTGAGATGCAGGCCAAGAGCTTCCTCATTGTGGATTAAAAAAAATGATGAATCGCAAATGACATCTACAGAGCAGATTAAGTTAAGCCGTGTTTCTCTGTTTTAATTGAAATGGAACGCGAAAGTTTAAAATCTTAGATTTAAGGGCATTTACAATAGACCCAACGGGTCAGCTCGCGCCCTTGGGCCGCACCTGGTTTGCATATTACGTAAGCAAGGTCGCGGACATAGCCACGCCTGCATGCACGAAGCCAGGTGAAATTGGAACCATTTCAGCACTGAACGATTCTTTGAGCTGGTAATTTCCGATAGCTAAGTGCCGGCCGTGAAGAAGTTCGAAGGCAACTATCAATTTACCCGTAAGAATAAGAGGGTGAAGTGGAATGGGTGATCGAGTACTGTATCAAGGATGGGCGGAGTTGGTGTTTAAAAGGAAATATAAGGGTTAGACACTGAGATACAGTAACAAACTTTTTGAAAGAGCCGTCCTGCTGACATGTCAGTGTATTTTAGGTGAAAATATATTTTCAAAGTCAAAGGAAAATGTTCGCAGGATTTTTCTATAAAAAAATCTTGTTTCGACCTTATACACACTACACACCTTTCGTTCGACACTCACGCATTAGACCAAAACATGTCATGTCCTTAGTTTCAATTAGATAATTTAATAAGACAAATTGTCTTGAATGACAGTCTCTTTTTAATTAAAAATAACAATTTTACTTCAACAAAGCTTGCATACAAGGTAATGTATAGACCAGTCTATTTGCGTTAGATATTAGCGTTTCCCACACAGATATTTGGCATTAGCATAAACACAGGAAACCTAGTATGATTTACGCGACGCGAGACGAATAAGAAATAAATATCGTGCATCCATTTTATTTATGGCCCATAAATCGGTGAAGCGCGATATTCAAGATTTATCTGATAAAGTATCCATCGGCAGACATATCGAATTTGGGAATACGCAAATGTTTTTATATCACAGTAAGGTTTTACGAGACGTACCTAAACTTAGGGTTATCATTTGGTCATTTCTACGTCTTTATCTATGCTTTTTGTAGCATTAAAATATCCAGAATAAATTAACTATGCTTTGGTCTATAATAAGTAGATAGGTAGATTTTTACTCTCTGTCCGAAAATTCTTTTGGCGATTATCTTGTGATAAACCTACGTAATTAATAAATATTAAATTATTGTGCCAACAAAGAAAGTCCCGCTAGAAATACAAATAAAAATAATCATAAAATACAGGGTGTTTCCGTCTCTTGTTGGATTATCAACTTCGTTCCCTCAGTATAGTAAATTATTAGTAATCTGTGGTATAGCTGTGTAATATTCCGTGTCTTACAACCATACCTATGCTGTGGCTACGTCGGGCACTAAAATCAACACATAATGCGAAGCCTTAAAAGTGCCACACGTTTAACGTGTAACGGAGTGACGCAAACGGCGGGGGCTGTGTACACCCAGAAATGAGTATTCCCTAGTGACCACAACGAAGGCACCACACAGAAGACCTACACCCAGTTTTTGAGTTGAGACTTTTAGCTTGAGTGTGCTCATAATAATAAAAACTCATAAAACTCATTTTGTTTTTGCAAGTAGGCTTTTAAAAACTACTTTTATACTTTTTACCCGATGCGCCAGGAGGGTTTTTTTTGTGCATGCAACTTACATACTTACCTACATAAGTAGAAAATGAGCACGCACAATTTAAGAATATCACTTCAAAAACCTGGGCTTGTCACACTAATTTGCCGTCGTCTGAATACTTGCATTTAAACATAACAATTGCATTCGCTTCGAAAGAAATAACAAAGAACAGGAATTTTAAATCTACATACAAACTACAAACGACGACTATGACATTTTTATAATCTTATATCTTTTATATCTTTGGATACGGAACCTCAAAAAGTTTTGCTTGTGTGACAGGCTTCAGCCTTCGCCTTAGCGTTAAATAAGCGCCTACTGTACTACAGTTCAATTGTATGAATTTAAAGCTTTAAAACATGAAACGGAATTCTTTACGACTTGTAAATTTTCGCTTGCAAATACATATTTATTTTCTGTACTTCAGTTTGTAGCACCTAGGCCCGGCCTTAACTTGAACATTTCAATGTCGTTACAGTGCTTTTTACGTATAATAAATATGCTAACGGTTATTGTTTATTGTTGGTACATTTGCGACGTGCGAGAAATAAGAATGCCTTAATATACATACAGGGTGTCTTCAATTAATTATTTATAAAGGTGCTTAAATATTATTACGCAAACGTTATAAAACTTACGTTAATTTTGTCGCAAAATAGTACTTATCACAAATAAATAAAATGCCAGTTTATTTATAACTTGATGAGTCGTCTTTACAAAATTCTAAAGTTTTAAGGGCGACAACCATTTTTTTTGGTCGGAAACCACAACAAAACAAAAAAATAGTTAATCTAAGACTTGAGTAAAACCCAAAGCAATCTGATTAAATCTTAGAAAAACCAACCGAATTGAGAACCCTTTGTTGCAGTCGGTTAAAAAAGTTTTACACGTATCATTGTATTGTAAACTTGTAATTTGTCTCTTGAAAAGCGAATCTTGCCTTTCATTGAATACACCTACGCTGTCGTACGTTATTGAATGAATAAGAAATGTCAATGTAAAATGTTTATCAATGAACTGTATTTAATGGTCGCGTATTTAATAACGGTGTAATTATAGCTATTAACCACAGCCTGTAGAGTAATTAAGTAATACATTAATTACCCATTAAATAAGGTTACAATTTGTGGTTTGGTTACACGTCTTATCAGTGTTAATAAACCACAGGTAAAGTTTTTTGTTTTTGTGTTTTCAAGAGGTTTGTCCTCTGGAACTTCTAAAGTAAATGTGTACCTTTATTCTATGAAATTTACTTGTATTTACTCTCGATTTTACAGGTCAAAGTGCAATATTATCAAAAAATGTAATGATAATGATGCTTTAGAGCTTCAAAAACCTTCATTGGATATTTTAATATCGTCGGCATAACCGACTATGATGGTTCAAAAGGCGAACTTAATGGCATTTTCACCCAGTTAACCTTTGGACAAAACAAAAATGAACCTAAATTAGCACCTACCTATTAATACGAATATCGAACTTTAAGTCGAGTGCTCATCTTGCAAAGTGCACAGTCTGTATCAGATCCTTACAATCTTACAAACTACATAAAGTAGGTACAATAATTGGTATAAGGTTGTATTGTCAACTTTTTGGCCACTGGGTGTCACGAACTATTTGAGGCTGACTGTACCACGGTGTAGCTTGATGTACTGACGACTGTAATATAAGTAGTAGGAAAAATACAATAAATTACAGCATCTTAAAGCCCATTCTGATGTCACTACCACGTTGGTCATTCAGCAGCGCCTACGCGCGTTAGGACTTGGCGGTCACAGGAGGCAACAATAGCAGAAATTAAATCTTTTTTTTATTTTCTTTAAATAAGAACTGCCTCTTTCCGAAATGTTAACTTATTCAGTCAGGGCTACGGCTCGGCCTAGGCTTATTAATGCACATCAACCCATTGGGATCTTTAGTGCTTCACTTTACCTTCATTCCCAATCATCCACAAAAATCCTACCCATTATTTAATTTAAATCCCTGGGTGAGAAGGACCTATAGTCTTCTGGTACCAGATAAGTCGACCCCAGGAGACCCATCCTTGTTCATAACGCGTCATGCTCCGAAACGTTAATCGAAATAACTTCAAAGTTCTATGATACACAAACGTCGGCGCAGCAAAGTAAATAAGCTTCTTATCTAGCTGTTGCAACATCAATATGTTGTTTATTGTTCTGTCTACATGTGATAAAAATATGTTTCAAGTAGCATGCATCTTAATCTTCCTTTTCTAAAAATAAATATCTACGTAAATACTTAATCTATACTAATATTATAAATGCGAAAGTAACTCCAGTCTGTCTGTCTGTCTCTCTTTCACGCCTAAACCACTGAACCGATTTTGATGAAATTTGGCAGGGACATAGTTTGAGTCCCGGGAAAGGACATAGGATAGTTTTTATCCCGGTTTTTGAAACAGGGACGCGCGCGATAAAGTTTTTCTGTGACACAAAATTCCACGCGGGCGAAGCCGCGGGCGGAAAGCTAGTAGGGAATAATATCAAAACAGTATAAATGGCATAGAATTAGTTTACTCTATGTGTAAGTTTTAAAATCTCAATATTTCTTTTAAGAATGCATTTCTACAAGCCCATAATAGCAAACGTTATGACCTACTAATACTAATGAGCACTGAAAACATGCAACTTGTTTTACCCCTGGGATGTTAAATTGTAATACTCAAGACTTTACAGGCAATTTTAATGTTAGTATAAATTCATTTAGATCAAAATCGACAGGGGGATTTAAAAATATGTCTTTTTACTTACCTTTAATTATCTCAGTTGATGATATTATAACATCGTTGTCATCCATTCTCGCTTTGTAGCACAGGAATGCCGATGATTTCTTTATTTTGACCGTTTTTAAAAAGTGTCTCGAACTTTGGTTTCGATGCTCACTTTAATTTGATTTTGAAATCGTTCTTATTACTGCAACCATGTTGATTAATTTTGGATAACTTCTGAGGGCTTGAGTTAAGTACCTGGAACATATTTTTGCGTAAATCAAAATTTTATTATGTTCTTGATCACAATGTTATCAGTGATTAAATTAAGTCATTAAACTTTTTATCAATGACAAACAACTTTATTAATATTCTTAAATACAAGAAATTCTAGTAAATCAGTAAACACACTTGAATGACTTTAATTTAACTTTTTATTTTGAAAACATTGTACTGCAGTAATAAATAGTAAGTTATATTTAATGCCAGAGTTAAGAAACCTGTGCTATTACTGCAAAGTTTATTGTACTGTAAACAATTTCCTTTAATATTTTACAAAAAAAGTTTGTATCATTATAACATTCTTACATGATTCTTAAATATTTCTAATTAGATTCTATCATGAATGAAAAAAATGGTTCCATTTAAAAACCAATTTGCTTGTTACATTCTGATGTAGGAGATGTAATGTTAGTCGTTGAAAAGGTATATATTTTATTTAGAATCTTAAACTGGACATTCACAATCAGTTAAACTGTTCAGTTGGACCAACAAAAATGCAAGAACTGTGTAAGTTACACAGTTTTTGGATGTATGTTAGTCTAACTTAAGTTGAAATTCCTTGCACATGGTAAATTTTTGGATGCATGTGAGTTCAACTGACGGTGAATGTCTAGCTTTACAGTGATAAACTTTAATAATTGTCAGAGACTGCATTTTATAGAAAAGTGTAACTGACTTGAGTTAGCAATCATATTATCAATGTTTTAGGTTTATTTACTGAGCAGTGTTGTGAGTTAAACAGTTTAGTGTGACCACATGGGTAACATTCCTAATATGCACACCTGTTAGAAAGTGGACCTAATCCTGCAAGACTTGCTCAGATATTTTAATTACTTCTGACAAACTTTAGACATAAATGTACCTAGCTAAGGAATTTCAGTTAGAATTTTATTATTAATTTTTTTCAATGTAGCAATAGAAGTTGCCTAAGTTTTTAATTTATAAATAAACAAAAAGGACTCACCAGAAAGACAGAAAGAATGAAGAACTCCAAATGTTGATTGAAATACAGTAACCTTGACTCTTAGTGCAAACAACCAATTTAATAGCAAATTACACGGTAACACTTCGCAGCACCCACTAAGTTTGATAAAACTACACAGTTTTAATAAAAAGTAACTTTTACTTGTGAACAGACATGCACAGCATTGAATAACAAGTCGGAAGTGTTAGGATTTCGTCTAGTTTCGTTCTCATCGTAGTGTTTTGTGTCCGACGACGCAATTCGAAGTGGCGGCGCGTAGGAGTCTCTTTATTAACGGCGTGGGTCGATTTCTTTACTTGAAGATAAGGTCAGCTCTCCTCATACCGAAACTGTGAAGCCTCTGTCGCACGAAATGGAATTTGCATCCTACTTCAGCGCTTCCAATAAGCATCTGCGGCACTCAACGCGCGGGCACGGCACAGGCTTCAAGGAGACTCGAATTCAGTAAAATGTAAACAGAAGCACCGGGTGTGACAATGCATCACAAATCAAAGTCCCATTTGTTGCAAAGATACAAGGTCGCCGAACCACTTTCAGCCTGAATGCATTGTATCTCCTCTCCATTTACAGTATGACGTTTCGCTTTATTTTATTCACCGGAGCCGTTGGGAAGTCAAACACGAAGGCAAACTCGTTTTCTTTCAAGTTGGATTTTCACAGATTTACTCAGATTTGCGCACAATAAACTGTCACTCAAATGTCGTCAGTCACAGAGCGACATCTATAATAAAATGCGACCAACATAGTCGAAGGAGGGCGCTGATCTACGCCTTTCTTCCATTTATCTTAATTTTCAATGCAATACCTTATTATTCAAGTGGTTTGTGTCTCTTTTAATAAAATGAAAGTGAGAAAACAAATTTTTTAACATTCAAATTGCATGTTTATTCATTTATTTAGCAAAAAAAATATTTAGTTCCATTTTCTGCCATAAGTTGGTCGCGGTCATAATGTTCATTATTTCAGACCGAAAAAAGTCTATATTGTCTATTGATGACGTGGGTGAAAGTTTCAGTTTCTGTAACTAGATGGCGCTGTATAACTAGCTAGTTTTACGATAGATGGCGTTGTATAATTGAATTAGAAAATGGAAATAAAATAAAAACGCCTTAAAATGTAGATAAATGAATTAGATTATATTTATTTATAAGTAATATATTACATTCAGTAAAATAACGAATTAATTAATTGACAGTGACAATTGTTTATTAACTTCTTTACATCTTTCTTCAGCCGCCTTTACAGCACCAATTACAGCTGCTCGGAACCCTGAAATTAAAACATAAATATTGTAAAACCAAGAACTGTTAAATAACTTCCCTTAGTACACTTGCCAGTGTTTATTTTAAATAAGGTACCCAACAAGATATTATATAGTTTTACGCACCGTTCTTTTCCAAATGATAAGTGCCTTCAGCTGTAGATCCTGCTGGGCTTGTCACATTGTCTTTCATGGCAGCTGGGTGTCCTCCACTCTTGAGCATGGCTGCTGAGCCCAGGGTCGTCTGAGTAGCCAATCTTAACGCCAGGTCACGTGGTAAGCCACACCTTACTCCACCATCAGCTAGAGATTCTATTAGCATGTACACCTGTAATACATAATTGAAGGAGTTCGACTATTATTAGAAATATATTCAAAGCAGAAAATGTTTAGCCACACTTCAACTTCATCGACTTTCGCTTCAGATAATCAAATAGAAATGCTTACATAAGCTGGTCCGCTACCACTAAGGGCTGTGACAGCATCCATTTGGTATTCTGGTACTTCATCACAAGTGCCCACAGCTTGGAAGAGTTTCGTAGCCAGTTGAACATCTTCATCGGTAGTGATAGTGCCCCGGCATAGAGCTGCAGCACCTTCTTTGACCAACGCTGGAGTATTTGGCATGACGCGAATCACTCGCGCTGTTGGTGGAAGGACCTAGAATTAAAGTTGAGTTGGATTAGATTAAAGTATTAAACAGAACCATTGTATTTTAGCCGTAAGGCAACATTCGACTGTGGAATTATCTTATCTATTTATTAGGCCCCGATGATAAATTTTATGGGTTCATTGACATAACCATCACAATTTTTAAAAAATAGGACACACCAATGACCAGTACAAAAGTTTTGGTATATAACATGGTGAACCCTGCAAAAAATTGACCTACCTTTTCTATACTGGCAGTAGATACCCCCATAGCAACAGATATGAAGAGTTTGTTGTTTGAGGCCTTCAGGTCCTTGACTTCCTTTAAGGCTTTGCCCACCACGTCTGGTTTCACAGAGACGATCACCACATCAGACCGCTCTACTACTGGCTTGTTGTCAGTTACTGCTGTTGCTCCAAGACCCTAGAAAATTAAGAAGCACGAAAAACTTTTTATAAGTGTTGCAGTAGAAATATTTTTTCTGTATTTTATTTGCTTGGTCCGACTGATTTCATTCGTGAAAGTGCTTTTTTTTAACTTAGCTTGAAGATAAAATGAGATAGAGGAATGTTGCTGTTTGTCTGTAACTATAGCTACAATGCTTGCTTTGATGTGATGCCATTAGTGGTACCTACATGGATAAGACAGTGCTTGTTGGGTTGGGTATAGCTGCGAAGTAAAGCAATGTTTCTCTTGATTCCATAATATCTCAGAGCAATATAAGTAACTTAAACTTATGAAGCTGCACCGCTGCAACTCCTGTGTGGCCAGGATCTACAGCTTGTCAATAAAAACTCAACCATTGAAGGTCAAGTTTGTCCCGGGGGAAACTTAAACTGTCATTGAGCCCGCAACGAAATTAATCAGAAAAAAATAGGAGTTCGAAGTCATGTAAGAGATAGGTCGTTTGTGTAATAATACACTATTATTTTGCTGAGACTCTCCGTATCTATCTTAATTGTAAGACGGACAAAGTCAAGGTTGTGTGACGCGCGAACTAAGTCCTCAGTTTGTTCGTTGATGATTGACTTAATATGTAGTTTATAAATAAATTACTGTATCTTTCGTGCATATATTTTTACATAAACTATCTACACATTAAAACTACATAGAAACAATAACAAGTCTTGCTCAACAAATTAATATAAAGTGACCAATAAATGGTTATTCATTAAGTTACCCAAGTAAAGAGTTATAAAATTAGGTGCCTATTACCATATTTTAACCTAATAATATGATGCATGAACAGCTTGGTATTCAAGTTTTCTCCAAATTATTTACCTTAAATGCCTCAGCACTAGTCACATCAGCAGGGTGGACACTGGCGGTGATTTCATCGGGTTTTGCTAAACCTGTAATATTGAGTAAAAGTTATAGTTGTGTAGGTAATTTTAAATCACGTAAAAGCTACCTACTACATTAGTCATCTCAAAGTTAAATTCTTGATGAAGTCATTTGCTAATGAAACCATTTTTAATTACTAAATTGTTTTAACTTTTGTATGAATTTTTTTTAATGATTCTTCATTACTTACCAGCTGATATGAATCCATTTGCTAAGGCGAAGGCTAGCCTTCCACCCCCGATAAATCCAATCTTCATTACTTCTTGAAGGGATACTGGAATAAAATTATTATTAAATAAGTACCCAAGTAAACACTCATAATTTTGCTATTATGAACACCCACCGGTTCATCATAAATTTTAAATTGTAACTCTTGATAAGATCTGACGATACAATAAAGGTTTAAAAAGTTAAAACTGCTCTATTCAAGTAAGTAATGGCTGTACAAATTAAACATTATGTGGCATTATGAGTTCGTTTCATTATGACATAACTACGAAACCTACGTAAAGTCAAAGAAGTGACCCAGCTAGTGGTGCGTATTGATTTTTCTGGAGAGAGCGGTCACAATCATAAGAGTGTGTCATGAAATTTGTTCAACAATTTTGTAACTAGTGAACTGTCGTTTGAGTATGATACGGAATTATCTAAAAATAGAATCATTATGAAACTCACGAAGTTTGCTGAATAAACCGCACGTGTAGTCTGGGCCAAGATCTGAGCGCAACTAAGATGGGGTTACGTTTTATCATCACTATCAGTTTTTGTTTTTATTGCGCAATATAACAATGTTAATTAAATAGGCTTCAGCGATCGATGGACGAAATCTTCCACTTCAGTTTGTTAAGTGTATGCGGTTTTTGATAACATTCGATTAGCAATTCAACAATTGATAGGTCGTCATGCCGAAAGAACAAGAGTTTTACATTATTTTGTTATCATACTAATGTAGCGCTTTGAACTGAAAAATAATACCCTAATGCTTTGTCATACTTAGGTAAGTCTTTGTTAATTTCACGTAATTATCATAGACTCTATTTTTGTTAGAAAAGTATACAACTGTTGATGACTTGCATGACGTTTGACCAAACGTTTGTTGTTAGAGATAATATTTGGCTAATTTAATTAAGATATACATTTAAGAAGTTTATCAGCAACTGGTATTTAGGTAATGATAGGAGAACCCCACCTGAGTAGTCCAGGATATGGGTGCACAGTGTGTTACATACATAATAAGAAATTATGAAATTTCAAATAGGTACAACTATTAAACACGGACGCTTACAACTAGTAGTACAAGTAATATAACCTTGTGAGCAATGCAAGCAATAAACGTTAATATAATAGTAAAATATTTGCTGATTGCACTTTGCTCCACACACGGTGCATCGTAAGGCAACGGAATCATGCAAACTGTTTCAATTCCAAATGTTTGTTATATTTAATCTCACGCGAGACTTATTTGTAACTGTTTCAATGCTGTTTGTAAATTATTAATCAGACATAATTCTGCAAGGATTGTTGTAGAGTAAAATTGATTAAATGAGTTAGAGGAGATCTATTGAGGTAATAATAATTAATAGTAAAAAACATACCTTGAGTGGATCCTGAAAAACTATCATAAGCAAGAGTTTAGTTCATCATGACATGAGAAATATCTTCGATAAAATAGACGTTTTTGATTCCGGACACTCTATAATGAATGCAGTGATCTGAAGATATAAGCTAGTTGACGCTACAAATATCCGTCCTTATGTAGAGTCAAGGTATAATGTAAATACCTAGGTAATAGATATGCAACACCGCAACTAGTGGACCCTGATCTTTGATAGGTACATTTATCGCTAGATGTTTATGTTTACATAATAATTATGTTTATATCACGTATACTAAAGCTAAGAAACTTTAATGGTAAATAACGAGTTTTATGCAACCTACTTAGCTAGAAACAAACTTTAATCATCCGAAATCATTATTACCAGTAAAATTTTTAATATTGCTTAAAATTAAATAAATGGCTGGAGGTGCACAATATTTAACAAATATCATCTGTGTTTTTACGAATCTAAGGAGTCTTACACAATCTTTTATTATTTACCATTTTGCGCCGTTTGTTATCTTCAGTGTTCTTTATTTTTTATATGTAAGTACCTATCAGAAATTAATTCTCTTAGTTTCGACTGATAAGTAATGTAAACTAACTAAATAAAGAATCGTTACATGTACCTATGGAATGTATTACTGCGTTTTAAATTTATTAAATTAATAAATTACTTTTGTTAAAATGTAACTTACATACCATTTGATTTATGTAGGTATGTACTTACTTTGTATCTAATTGTTTTAATCTCATGTCCTAAAATTTTTAAACGCACATAAAAGTGCATCATGGAATAATGTTAAAGTAATAGAGCCTTTCGTAAGTAGGTACTTACTTATAGTACTTACTATAAAAAATATCAAACACGTAACGTAATACTTACATTTCAGCATGTTTATGGAATAAATACTTATTTTTAATATTGTGAGAAAGTTTATCACTTTTATTATAATGAAGTACAACTTAAAATATAACTACCACAGCCGTTAAAGTCCGAAGAAAAATCACTAACACTGGGTCACAATATTAAATTTTATATTTACAATAATTTATAACAAACGTGTTTATCAAGTCGTTCCTATGCATCACACTGAGCGTAGTGCGAGCTTGTCCAACGCACCTAAACTGGGTACTGATAGGGAAAAAGGTCCATTAGTAATATAGCTGATAAAATATAACGGACATACGCTTCGTAAACACTGGGATGTATTTCACCTAATTAGTTGATTGATGTCATTTATTTAGCAAAATAAAATAATTAGGTAACGCGCGCTACAATGATAATTATGATTCACGATGGCATCGTTTTTACAAAAGTTTGAATTGTTTTACATTACGAGCTAGGTACATTTGAAATTATTAAATAGTATAAAATTTTAATTAACGTTGAAGAATGCTGACATCTGGACGTGTCTGGACTGGCAACGTTATTATGGGTCAAGAGGCTACCTTGATATCTCCTTACCTACATGCATAATCTATTGTTTTGATGTATTGTTTAGATAACGTAATCAATATTGTTGTACATAATGTCGGTATACCAGTTAGTACCTACTTATTAGATAAAGTTATTCAAACTTAACTATTTAAATACAAATTATATAAATCTTCATTTGTGAAGCATAGGTAACAAGTCGTGACAAGTTAGTGATATCACTATGTTCCACACAAAGAACTTACTTAATATTGTATTAATTTGTCATACAATAATAGAACATTTAAATCTATTACTAATTTTATTTTATCTTTTGTTGTTCTATATTAAGTATATAAGTATGAGAACAATTGATTTTTTTAAACTTACTAATAATTCAAAATAATTCTTGTTTACATTTGAAATACTATGAAACTGTAAAAGAACGCCATCTACACAAAACTAAACGAACTATCAACTCCTTGAAGTGTTTGCTTTTGGGTCTTTCAGAATGCACATTCTAGCTTAATAAAAAAAATTATTAAGATAAATTACATAAATTTTATTATTTTAATTGATTTAAATATTCATTGGTTTAATCAAAAAAATATATAGGTTTCCTTGCTAATTAATTACTTTTTGTTAATTTTAGCCATTGCGTGAAACTATACCACGACTATAATATAACATTGTTTGTGATAATAATATTGTCTATTCCAAATGAGCGGCAAATTTAAAAAATAAATTTGAAAACTGAAACTAATAAAAACAAACGTTTTATCATTATTTAGAAGTTGTGTCTTTTCTATTTTATTTTTATTTTTAACTACATTACCATCGGCACATAATGGAATGAGATGTTTATTCTTCAATCAATGAAAAATAGCAAGTACGGAAACGCGCATGAAATAAACATTTAAATGTGAGTATAAATAAAATGTATGGTTGATGTTATAATATAATATACCATATTATGGTGAAAGCTGCTGTTGCTAAGTAGGAAACATAATTTATTTAGAATTTCTTAAAATAAAATCATAAATTATAATTTTCGTTTGTGAATTAATAGTTGATTAAATTAAGTAGTCTTTAAGTACGATCATTAGATATTTATTTATTGTACTTTTATGGGAACCAGCAAGGGAGCCCGTGAGTAAGCCCGGACTGATTCCTCTCTAGCTCGCTCGCTCCCTCTGCCTGCATAGTTTCATTTTGGTTTTTCTTTTCATTCGCGCTCAAGGCGTCGTCCACAGCGTCGCGTTTCTCGCGGTAGTGAATGACAGTTCGTTGATTGTCTATGGGAGTGCTCGCTCGTATCGAATTTGTGACAAAATATTCTATGTCCAGTGAAAAGGGCGAAATTATTGTATATTTCGCATGACAGTGAATAAAATAATCACTTGAATATGGCGCTGGAGGGTGTGAAAAGTGAAAAAAGTGAGGAAAACAACGGCAATGTGCCGGACGGCAAGGCGAACGGGATCGACAACAAAAGTAAACAGGTATGGATAGAGCTTGTGTTTTTCACCTTTTTCCTTTGGTTTTCCGCGTTGCAATCATTTGAAACTCTAATGTATAGTTGCGGAAAACTGTATATCATCTGGAGTATTTTTCCTAATGTTATTTGCCAGTTTTCAGTGAAGAATTTGATGTTTTAATCATAATGCCGCATAGCAGTGAAAAGGTGATTCCGCGCAGTACAGTGGATCCGGGATACTTTGGGTAGAATCTAAACGGGGATATGACCTATTTTGGGCGTATGCGATTCTGTGTGTACTGCAGATTTTTTCAGATATGATGTCATACTTTTTTCAGAGCGTGTTTTGTTTCAATTTCGTTTGTTTGCAATAGACGACGTAGACGGTAACAAATTCATTTGCGCGGTATTGTTTTTTTTGTAGTCTTCTCTAACAAATGGAATCACTTGCAATTGCTAAAAACAAATGAATAAAATGTGAAGCTGAATAAGATGCTTGTTGTCTTAGGTTTGTGACACAAATCACTGGTGGGATCTGTGATCTGAGGTTTTGTCACATGGGTTTCATTAGTCAATGCTATCTGGTATAGGTACATATGACTGATAAGCTTTGACACTATCTTTCCTTTTACCGTCCGTGACTGATTACGCTGGATATTGTTTAGGGAAAGCCTTCAAGCTACTTAAATCTCCATAATCTTGCCCTACCTAAATGGCTAATTAAAAACATGTCATTACACTATTGTGGTAATGAACATGATCTTATGTTTATCATTGATCTATAGGGCGTAAATTAAACAAGGTAAATAAAACAAAAGGATTCCTTATTAAAACTTCATTCATATTTTGCAATTATAAAATCAATACTAGTCAATAATAATCTACATATTGATTAGATAATTGTATCAAATATTCTTCCTTATTATTCTTTATTAACCTTTTATCATCTTCAGGCATTTCAATCTTCTGCGATCTTGCATAAATAATGGAATTCTTGCCAATTCATAACACATCAATGCTTTAATAATGCTGAAGCTAGTGTTAATAAGGCCATTTCAATTGACCCAGTCTAGTGACCCAATTAATGGCTCTGACTCTTGACGAGGATTGACTTGCCAATGTCCGTAGTAGGTGTCATAATAAATATCATTAAAAATGACCTTGAATGAGTAGGTACCTACTTGAGATGCAAATGGAAAAAACATGTTTTGCATTCTATTGAATAGAATATAAAGGATGGGGTATCTGTATTCTTATCTCAGTTAACTTATTCATGATAGGTGGTACAAATTGTTTTGGAAAAATGAAAATATCTTTGAAGTAGGACCTATTACCTACCTACTCCTCTGAATTTTCTAGTTTTTCCAAATGGCATATTAGTAACTCCAGTCACTACTCCAGCTAAGGTACCTACCTACCTTATTTTCTATCTGCTAAATGGTTATCTGATAAATCAACCTAATATAAAGTAGTTGTGAATTTAATAGCATGACTATGACTTTATTATTAGAGGTTTACTTGCAGCAGTCTGATGCAGTAATGACATCATACGTAACCCTTGCCAGCATTGAATGTGCGATTTAGCCAGTAAAAATGATTTAATATTATCATATTAATCCACTATTGAAAATGACTAAGCTCACGTGACCAACAAAGTATTATTTACTAATATTGATTAATGACGACTACGAAAATCACGCACTTAGATAAACTAAGTAGGTCACTTGCTTGAATCTGGAATCTTATTCCACATAAAGAAGGTAGAGTTCTGTGAATAAGATACATATAAAAAATACCCTTATGTCCAAAGGGTACTACAAGGTTCGAGACTATATTGATGACAAGGATGCGTGGTCAGTTCAGTCTGCACATATTTGATGTACTTAAATTTGACTATTCTTACCGTTAGATAATTCCTGGCAATAAGTGGTGACTGAGTTTGTTCCGGCGTTTCTTCTCAGCACTTGCCATATGTTTGTCTCGAAGCGCTGGTAGGGCCCAAAAGATAAGGAGACATGTAAAGTGCCCCATAAGGGCTACCTTTTTCCTTTTTTATTATTTTCTATTGACGTTCATAAGTGCCACTTGTGGTCTAAACTGAATAAATATTTTTGATTTTGATTTTGATTTTTGATTTTGAAGCACCCAACCAGGCTAGCAGGTAGGTAAGAAGTACCCCAAATCATCAGATTTATTCGCTAAACGTCCTTGTCCTGTTCCTCTCTTTTATTTTAGCATCCTCTACTTCGTTCGATAACTATGATAAAGTGTGATGCCTGCAATCTCGAAATTATCCAATTGGGCATGAGAACCTGACTTCAATCTGTTAAATGTCTCAATTGTAATAGCGGACTCCGATAATAATCTAGTTAGTGCGCTGAAAATTGCAGTCAATTCCGACGCCCATGTTATCACAAGTGTAGGCTACATAACAGGTTTCGATTTCACGTATCAGTGAATATCCTGCAGAAAAAGTCGTCCAACCAGCGAAGTAGATTTGTATAAACAGCGGAAATTCATGAAAATGGTCCTTCTATTAGCCGATTTAATACGAACATCGCGGAAAGGTTTTTGTAGGCATGATGACGCGCATTAAATTGACATAATTCAACTGTACGGCCAAGGTCGATGCCGTAGATACGGTGACGTTATGGCACAGTACTGTACACGGGGCGTGGCTTGCCAACCTTGCGGTTTACCCATTGAAAAGCCCATAATCGTTACTGCGAGCTAGTTAGCTTACTTGCAATTTGAACTTTTATAACAGCTACATACAGTAGGCCTATTAACCTATAATTGATGTCAGTTCTTTCACTTTGCAACAAAAGTCGGAAAAATAAAATGGAATCGAAGAAATTCAAAACTCCGCGTAACCTTCAAGAGGCTCTCAACCAAACATGACGTCAGCCAGTAGGGAGAGGTAGTAAACCCCTCTATATTAGCAAACGAAGCAGACCAGTAAACAAGGGACTGTGAGTTATGAGTGGAAACGGAGAAAATACTCCGAGTCTTTGTCAAGGACAGACCAGATAAGATTGGTCGATATTTCGTTAGTCAGAAGAAGGAAAAATAGGGTAATTGCGCCGGTTTTCCGTCCAGCTCCTGTTTTCGTCCATTTGACCGACTTGTCACAAACAAATACGGAAAATTAGAATACAAACCTAACTTTCCGTGCAAGTTTGGACTTGTTACAATCTATAATATCTAAGTAACAGTCCTGCCTGCATGAAAATGTAATTTGACAAGTAATAACACCAAAAAAATCTACGGAAGTTGCTGCTGCACACAGGTGAATGGAAAACGTCGTCAAGTTAGAAAAAAAACGTGCCGGTAGGGAACTTTCATGGTATGTTTAATTACTGTTTTAGCTACTTTACGTAATGTTTTTGGCACGTATGTCTAATTATTAGCATAATAAACACTATTTTAAGGGTTTATTAAAGTTTTTGTATAGAAATCTTAGATAATTAAGTGGACTAATACTAGCATAACAATTTTGCAAGATTTTGGTTTTCGTCCACGTGGACGGAAACCCTGACACCTAGTTAATATTTTAAATAATCATTTTACTTCAATGGACCTACAAAATACAATGTTTTTTCTTCCAATATGATCTTTATTGCTATTACATTAAACATTTTAGTTTACGTCCACTTTTTAACAGTGATAAACCCATAAAAACCGTTAAAAAGATGTGGACGAAAACAAAAAACAGCTTTAAACGTTGTTGTGTTTTCGTCCATGACGTCATGAGCAAGCACTGGGGTGGACGAAAACCAAAATTAGCTATTCCTGTAGATTAGTTTTCGTCCATTTGTCCTTCGACCTACTGCAATATTTTCCTAAATTTAGGTAAGAAACTTATTTAAATCTTTTTGATATCATTTGAAAGCTAACAAAATTACCTTTCAAATGATATACCACAATCCATAGTTACTGTATTGTAGAATTGGTTTTAAGGTAATAATTCAACTGCACCCTTTTTTCTACACAGTGGTCGAAAACTAGCGTACACTTGGACGAACACTGATTTTTTTGGACGAAAACTAGTGAAATCGCCTCTTTTGCATAAAATATTTTTTATAAAATACCCCGTGGTATTTACTTATTATCATATAATATTAACGTAAAGTAGACTATATAAGGACTAAAATGACATATGATACATATGAGTAAGGGTATTTTAAGATATTCATTTCGCATCACAAAGTTGGCAACTCCGATAATTGGACGAAAACTAGCGCACTTACCCTACTTTAGAATCTAACAAAAATATCCATGAGGAAATGTGTAAAGTTTCAGTTCGTAAATGAAGAACATAATGAAATAACAAATGAACTCTGACTGGGTGGTGCCGATCGGAAACAGTATTTCCTTTCCTGACATTTGATCTGTCTAATTCTTGAAAGGAAACCTTAAAACGCTTCGTAGCTTCTTAACAAAAGTTACACAGTTATTGGAGACGAAGTAGATTACTTTATTTCCATTTCGTTTTTAGGTCACCCCAGTCGCCACCGACTCCAACAAGACAACATTAGAATGTGATTTCGTTGCCCGTTTTAAAAGATTGATGGCTGTTGCAAAGTAGAATACTATTACTCGTTTCCATTTGAAGTTAGTGGTACATTTGCAATTCCAAGGAGATCAGAACATAAAGTAATAAATAAATAAAGATCACTCATACATAAATGTTATTGTTAGATTAACAAAACTATTATTTTATTTAATCCAACGTTATCATAGCGTGCAGATGACAGGAACGCCGTGTTCATGACTCGAAGAAGGGGAGGGAGAGCGTGTGCAAATTTGATTATCTCGCAACAGTGACTGGCACCCTCCAGGCCTGTGATACCCAGGAAAGGATATTAATACCGAGACGACAAAGCGCTAAGTAATAGAATAACATTCAATCCCCTCGAGGAGACCTTTTACCTTGTTAACTTACTCAATATACCTAATTAGTTTTATAATATTTAATGAAAAATAAAGCCAAACTAACATCATCATGCTCCAGAATCTCAGTAA